CATTTTTTTATCCTCACAACTTGACCGACCAATAAGGAACAATCATGATAAACAAAGAAAACATTGAACTTGTCAGGGATTTCAGTTTACTTGGTGTCTATGGAAACAGCAGTCAACAAATCACACGACATACTGCATTGGTAAGTTTGCTATAAGAAGACCTCTTTTTAAAAATCATTTTATTGGGAGCTCATAGAGCTCTTATCACAATACATACATTGTGTCAAGCACATTTGTACATTTGTTGCCATCATCATTTTCAAAACATTTTCTTTCAACTTGAGCCCTTGGTATCAGCTCCTCCTAAAAAGACCTCTTTTAATTCTTAAAAAGCAAAGATGTCACTGAGAATAAAAGTGCACATGACGCAACCGTGGTATTTTCAATCACTTCATATACATGCAGAGCTGGACAAGGAATACGGAATACCAAAGAAGTGATGCCTTTAAATGGTACCTCACAATAACGACAACAAAAAGAAGAGACGTTTAAAAAAATAAAAATGAGGTTCCTGTCTTCTCAAGGCGTACAACATCCGATGGAGTACCCTTCCGATCTGCATTGGAAAGCCAACTAAATGAACCAGACTTTACGTTAAACACCCCTGTTGCAAATGAGAGGAATTGATATACCCTTCAGACTTGAAGTTGTAACACCCTAATGAGAGAAGAAGGAGACTGCTTACCCCAAGGAAATCACTGGACTCCAGTTCAAAACTCTTGCTTTTGAGCTTGTCCATTTTTAATTCCTTCTGTTTATTATTATTTTCTGCTTTCTTTTGGATTGAAGTTTTTCTCTTTATTTTTGTTATTGTTTGTGTGTGTGTTTGTTTGTTTGTTTGTTTTGTGGGGGTTGGATTTTCTTTATGTGAAATCCAAAGTAGGTAAGTGAGGTAGTTAGTTTATTGTGCCAACCTGGCCGATAAACACAGCTGGAGTTAATTGAAGGGCGGAGCAATAAATGGCTTGGTGAGCCTCACCTTTCTAGTTCTCAGGTCTCTTGCTTTGTGATGGTCACACCAGAGTGCAGCTGCCTTACCCAGTTCCCTGCTTTAGCTGTAAAGGCTCACCTCCTGCAAGACATCCTTGAGGAGAAGC